TTTCCTATTTACACATAGCATATATAAATATGAACATTTGGCATAGTGCGCAACATTTCCACTTTAGTTTTGTTACACCGTTAGCCGAAGTATCTTCGAGTTTTATGAACTAAAACAACCCCAAAGTTTTTTGTTAGGATGGTCCAGCTACGGCTGTTTTAGGTCGACCTCCTTCGGCGCTCGATAGAAGTGTGTTGTCTGTATGATTAAACTCTTCTTCTTAAATACAATGATACACATCCGAGAAAAAAATCTTAAGTGACATGATGGGAAGAGTGGTCTTTATTTTGATCACGTGGTGTAACAAATTAAGTAGTTATACAAAACTTTGGGGATGTGGAAAGAAAAGGGAACAAAAGGGAAAAAGAGACAGGCTAAACATACCACAAAGAGTTATCCACTTGTATAACTTTTAGCTCCGATATATATATTATGCGTTAGTATATTTGCCTTGTATTATGGAAGGAAGCTAGAAAAGCAAATAAATTCCACATCCACACCAAATCCTCCTTCTTGCTATGGACTTTATGATCCTATATTCGTTGTTGCATATTTGTATTGCACAATTTTGTTGATATGGAATACCCTGGTGTAACGTTCTGGCTCCGCCACTGCCGATATACACTTTTAAGTGTCAGATTCTCATCCTTACTAGCATGGAGAAGTGGAATAGTATAAAGATGAAAAAAGGCATTCGGTAAACATGGTAATAGTAGCAAAAACAAACTTCAAATGTAACAAATTATCTGTTAGTATATAAAATTAAATAGACAAAAGAGTGTAGCCTTATAAAGGTCAAATGTTGAAGGTATTCATTCCCCACTACACTATCTATAGTTATAGGTTGTATACTTGTATACAGGCCCATGCAGTGGGCGGTGCAACTAGAGCAGTATCACCGGGCCCCCAAAAATTAAGGGCCTCTAATCAACAATTAATCACTAAATCTAATTAAACTAAGTTGCTGGTTACTTTTGGCCTTTTTGTTTTCTCGCCGCAATCCATATGAATAATCGTTAAGTGTCCAGCAATCAGTTGATCACATACGTGACTTTATCACGATGTTCCGACTTCTTAGTCCATCGTGAGTTCTCGCTTCCGAGTCCATCGGGACTTTGCGCCTTCCACACAACAGTTCAATTCACCTAGCATTGGCAGGTTCCCGACTGCCGTCGGTCAGGCAGTGAGTCCTTCTCGTTGCTTGTTAATTTTACTTTTTTCCCCTACGACATGCACTCTTGTCTAATGATTTAGTAAATGATTGATAGGGTTAAATACTTATTGTGAATCTTATTATTGAAAATTGCATGATGTCATATATCGGTATTCAAATATATATTTTTTATTTTATTTGCTAGGATATAGGGAGCTAGGGACCTCATATTGTATTTCGCTCCAGGGCCACAAAATCCTAGATACGTGCCTGGTTGTATATGTATATTCTATACGTGCCTGGTTGTATATGTATATTCTATAGTGCCATTTGGTAATTGTTAAGTTTATGACCGCACAATATCGGAGCTATTTTGTTGACGACCGCTCTAAACAATAAATTAATTTTTGCACTAGCATGTGTTGTGTTGTCTCTTCTAAAGACGTCACCTTTTCCTTCCCACTCGCGTTTTTTTCCTTCAATGTGATGCGTTTCTTTCTTGTAGACATGTTTATGTAATAACTAAAATTGTTTTTTACATTAACATTTACATCTAGAGGTGTTGCCCTTCCAACAAGTGACTCTTGTTTTAGTGTATGAGTAGAATATAATATAAGATGTCAATAAAGAGTAATGAAAGCATAAAGTAACAATTTTATTGTAACATAACAAAAGCAGTTATATATATACTCTATCTTTGTAATAATAGCTCACCACCGAAGAAAGCAATAACGATAGTTCATAAATAGCTTCCTCCTAATTCATCATATGTACCTCATCTATTTTTGGTTTGTCACCTAAGAAAGCAATAATGGCAATTGGCAATTCATTATTAACCTATACAATAGTGTTATGATACATTTTTTATATATTTTTTTAATTATTACTCACCACAAAGAAATCGATAACGACAATTTTGCTTTATCGTTTATACCTCATTCATTTTAGCTTGTCACCTAAGAAAGTAATAATAATAATTCGTTAATAACCTATACGATAATGTTATGATATAAAGTAGTAACAATAACTAGTGAACAATTAAGCTAACTCGTGACCAATATCACGAGTTAGCTTAATTGTTACCATCCACCATGTTACTCTATTGTTGTGTCCACCTCCTGCTTCATTGTACCTTATCTATTGTTGGCTGGTCACCTAATTTACGATTTTCATCCATCGTTGTCCATTGCCCCGTGACTTGTTATTGTTATCTATCGTGTAAAAAACACATGTATATGGTCACAAATTAAACAACCCTAAGGGCTTGTTTGGATGTCCATGTATTTACCTCAACCCAGATGTGTTGAAGTGGATTGGAGTGGAAATTAAACTAAGTTCCACTCCAACACACATATGGATTGAGGTAGATACATGTGCATCCAAACAAAGCCTAATAGATAGAATCAATCGCAGAGCACACGTGTATAATTAACGTTGGAACTTTAGTTATCTAACAATGATGTTAAAATGAGTTGCTTATTGCTAAGAAAATTTTAGTAACAATGGCAAAACAGCAAAGCACCATCTAAGAAAACAATAACAATGATTCATTAACAACTTATACAAAAGAGTTGATTATGATATTAATCATGTGATAGCTTAAGGTGCAGTTTGAAAGTCTCGCCAGGTTTCTTGTCTCGTCTCATTCAGTGGAGGTGAGCCAAATTGCTCACATACTCCATTGAGAAAAAACCTTTAAAAGCACAAATAACGAGGAGAGCTCGCTTGTGAACCAAACACATGCTTACCTCCAATTTCTGGTTGAGTGAGGCAGGCTAAGCGCTTGCCCTGCTATCAAATGTGTCATCAGTAGCTACACTGGACCACACTCCTCTATTGTTGTGCTCACCTCCCCCTTTATTTTAGGGAAGGGCTAGCGCTCGGACGTCCGGACGGATGGCGCATCCGGACACACATCTCGTGCCCCACGCTGTTCTTTGGAAATGAGCCCCGCCCGCGTCCATCCCCCGCAGCACCTGTGTCCTGGACGCAGCACCGCCGCCCACATCGCACCACGCCCTAGCCCCGTGTCCCATCCCGCTCCAGCTCCGCTGAACTCTGTGTCTAGGTCGAGCTCGTCGAACTGCCGCGGCGAGATGGAGGGAAGGGAAGGGAGATGAGAGTAGAGGGCGAGGTGCGCCACGCGAGGTAGGAGCCGAAGCGTTACGGTAGGTCGCTGTTCGCTAGCCACCGGCACCATTGCAACATGTGCAATACCCGATCTACTTTTGAAACATCCAGATGACATATTTGTAACATACGTTTAAAGACAGATGAAACACTTGAAATAGCGTCTGAAACACATGCAAAAACACTTGAAAAGCCATTGCAAAATATATGCAACATCCAGATAAAACAATTGCAACATCTGTGTGAAAACATATGCAACATCCAATTAAATACACTTGCAACATACGTCTGAAAAAACAGATGAAACATTTGAAACAGACGTTGCAACATACGTGTATAGCCATTGCAACATATGCAACATCCTGATCTGCTTTTGCAACATCCATATGAAACACTTGCAATATACCTATTAAACATCTGAAACACTTGAAACATATGCTTGCAATATACGCTTTAAACGTAACATCTCCTTGCTGCTTGGGAGAATGGAGGCTCGTCTGCATGTGGAGTTCACCGGAGGCAGCGACACTGGTGTCTCTTGTAAGCGGCGGGCTGCCGGCGGCGGCGGCTGCGCAACGCGGCAGGGAGGTAGCGGCTGCACAACTAGGAGAGGGTAGCCGAGCGCCGTGGCTTGGAGGCGGCTACGCGTCGCGCCTAGCAAGGCAGCGGCCGAGCGCTATGCCTCAGAGGTGCAGGCGGAGGCGGCAGCACAGGGACGAAGCGGCGCAGCGAGCGACTCCTCATGGGTGAGAACAAGCGAGTGACTTACTGTGTGGACCTGTGTAGAGAAGCCCAAGCGGCGTACGCACATTTAGATCCGACAACGAGTTAATGCGTCCGATGAAAAGCACCGTCTGGACGTCCTATCCTAATCATTTCCGTTTATTTTACCTCATCCATTGTTGGCTCACCAAAATTCACAATCGTCTTTAGCTGGTGCGAGTTGCCCCTTGAACTTGTGACCGAACATGTCAAACACCAGATGTATTTAGTCGCAATCAACTCTGAACCTAGAAGGAAATTGATGGTGATCGTGTCAAACGCCACACGTATTTCATCGCAACCAACCCTGAACCTAAAGAAATTTGATGGCGTTGCACTCATGCTGTCACGCATGTAATTTTGAAGCAATCTTTGCAACTTTAGCTATCAAATAAGGCTGTTGGAATAAGCTGTTTACTGCTAGAAAAAATAGTGTGATATCTGTGGCCCTGTGCACCACCACGGAACGCGGATGCACATGGCGTCGCCCCTGCACCGGCCATCATCGCCGGAGAAGATTTGACAAGGCATGCTGGTGCTGGGAGCTGATCAGCTGTACAATTGGGCGCAAACATGTCTGCTTTCACAGTTTCACTGCTGTCACCTCCTTCCTACGGAGTAGTTCATCCAGTGGGGGACTGGCGGTGGCGCACACAGATCCATCAGCCATCAGGGGGCCATGATTGGCTTCAGTGTAGCTAGCAGCAGCAAGCATAAAAGCCGCAGTCCGCAGGCCCTCAAATAAAAGTCAACCGGAAAAGACGCGATAAAAGGGGCGAGATCAAGGATGCAGGGAACGCACTGTAGCGAAAGCGGGAGGTGAAACGGTAAGAAAAGGAGATCACTTTTTATCACATTACAGGAGCGGGGAGAGTGTGAGAGCAGGCTGCCAGTGCCAGGACCACGGCGGAGCCTCTCCGTCCGTACCGGGTGCGGTACACTGGTAACTTCCCTAATGGCGATCTCCGGCGAGGAGAGGCACGCGCCCGCCGGAGGCGATTCCGGCGGCGGGAAGCTCTGGAACCTCTGCCGCATGCCCTTCCGGCAGGCGGGCGGGGCGCCGGCCTCGGCGCCTCCGCAGTCGTCGTCGTCGTCTGGGATCCACCACCACTCCGCCGGCAGGTACGGCCACGAGGCTCCCGTCGCTGGGGACAGAGCCGTGCAGGCAGCGTCGGCGGGGTCGATCTCGTCAGTGGCTAAGTCGCTGCTGCCAGCGCGCCGCCGCCTCCGGCTCGATCCGGCCAATAAGCTGTACTTCCCATGTAAGCACGCGAGAAACTAAAGCTTCCTTTCAGCAACTGCTTCTTTCATTTATGGGATCTCCTCTCGAGTAGTCTGGGAAGTTGCCATTTGTGCCTGATCTGTTTGCGTCGGATGCCTGAAACCTCCGCTGTGTCTTTTTGTGCAATCATTTATTAGTTTTTCATTTTTGTGCGAGCTTAGCTATTCCGAAGTCGGAATCTGCGGTGGAAGTCGCGGTCTTGTGGGGGCGATTTGGCGAATGGGTTGCTTGATTCTCGGAATTTATTCATTGGGGGTGGTTTGTTGGCTGTTGGCGCGGTGGACAACATCTCGGTCTTCAGTGTCCCACCCGGTTTTCTTGATCTTGGTGTAGAGGTTAGGGTGTCATCACAATCTAGGAGTTGGATCTAGATCCCAGAGTCTGTTCGCTTGTTGGTTTCAGCCAAGGTTTATCAGCCAACCGATAGTGTTTTTCTCTCACAATAAACCAGCATCAGCCGGGCTTATCAGCCTAGAAAACTACCAGCGAACAGGCCGCCGGTTGTGTACAAGCTCCAGTGCGAAGTACCATTAATGAGTTTTTTAGTAAAAAACTAGAATCCACAAGATTCTGGAGGTGGAATTCTGGTGTGATATAAGTGTAGTACTATGTGTGTAGCCTTAATGTGGCATGTCAGTGTAACCAACTGCCAGTTTGCAACACTTGTTTGCTATCTAGCACTTGGCCGATAGAACTCCTACCCTGGTCGATGGGGGGCATGGGATTATGATCTACTTTATCTTGCAGTTTTATTTGGTTGGTTGCTGATGCATCGATGCACAAGTTTGCTGTGGCAGAACATGCAAATGAAACATAGTATTTATTTCTCATGTCTGCTGTGGTAGCCTGGTAGGACACTAGGACATATATACAATTGAAACATGCCAACAAATTTGCTTCACCTTTCTGATGATCTGACTATGGGTGCGTTCAGCTGGCTGGACAGCTGGGCTGGGGCTGGGGCGCGCACTCACACGGGCACTGTTCCTGTGAACAGTGTTATCGGACAAAACAGTATTTTTCTCTCGTAACAATCACCTGGTACAGTATTTTGGCTTATTTTTTAGCCCTGCCGAACACTCCCTATGTGTTCTTAGATTCTGTTCGGTAATGCTGTGTTGTCATTTTGAGACACACCATTAGTTGAGTAAGGTAGTTATGATAGGTCACCATGTTTTGTAAAATTGTATTATTCTGTTTCTAGTAAAGCGATTAATAGATCAGACAACATCCAAATATGGCGTATCGAAGCCTACTTATCTGGGACAAGCTGCAGCGCCAAATGAACTATTTAAAATTACCATCGAATGCCCCGTTACTATATTGAAGCTGTAATGTTATCTAGGGCTAGAACCCTTGTCAGAATCAGATAGTTATTATTCGATGGACAAGAAAAATGCTTGATTGGTTAAATCAGTCCCAGGCTCCATTTAATTTATGCTTCATGTTCACATAATCACTTGTGCTCTTATGTTCTAATTACCGTGAGAAACAGCAACGAGCTGGAAAGATTTCCATTCAACCCTGTAATTCTCTGACATCTTCTCTTTTGTGAAGAGAAGCTAATGATATCCGTCTTACCTTGTGCAGATGAACCAGGAAAGCAGGTCAAAAGCGCAATTAGGATAAAGAATACAAGCAAGTTTTATGTAGCATTTAAGGTTTGTACGTCATATTGCATTGAATAGCTCTGTTCCAACAGAGTATGTGTTGAATCAGCAGTGTTGAACACTACTTTTGTTTTTAATAATTTTTTTGACTGGTAATTGATATTTGAATCATTAGTTTCAAACAACTGCACCAATGGGTTGCTTCATGCGCCCCCCTGGAGCCGTCCTTGCACCTGGGGAGACTATTATAGCCACTGGTAAAACTGCTGTGACCTTGGATCTATACTTGAAGGTGAAGGCTTCCCAGTGTTCTATTTTGGTGCTTATCTTTTCTTCTTTCTAACTTCAGTTTTCAAGTTTGTGGAGCACCCAGAGAATAATGAGAATGTTCTACAGAAGTGCAAGGTCAAATTCAAGATTTTGAGCTTGAAGGTGAAGGGACCAATGGAATATGCACCAGAACTGGTTAGTAGATTTTCCTGCATTTTTATTTTATTTCTACCAAAATCATGGCTGGTGAAAGAGGTGGGGGAGTGTGGAAACTGTAGAGGTGAGGGCCTTAGTCATAACTTATAAGTGGTGGCCTAGGTGGGAGGTCACTCTATGCATCATCTCCATGGAGGCTAAGTAAGAAAAAATCTCCCAAATATAGGGCTCGTTCATGATGAAAAGGAAGGTTGTGTAGTGGTAAGAGGGACATGGTGTTGACATACACCTTGATAGGTCCGCAGGAAGTCCTTTTTTGAGGTTATGGCTCAAATAGGCCCACAACATTGGGAAACTAATTTATCAGGTATCTGGTTTTGGGAACCTCCTCACCGTGGATTGGTCCTTCATGGGTATGATTTTGGTAGGTTGACACTATTGTTCCTTTATTGTAGTAATAATAGAAGACTTAAGCTTATGGATGTTTCAAGGCGTGAAGGACTAACTAATTTCATTCCTAAAACCAAACAAGATATGTTCGGATTTAGGATGAAATAATTTACTAATCACTCTATTCCTGCAAATCAAACACCGTACGATTTAGTGGTTAGGGCCTGCTAGGTTTGACTAAGGGTTGCTAAGGTTGGTTAATGGTTACCACAATGAAAATTTATGGTATCTGCCTGTAATTTCATCACAGGGGGTGTTTGGGCTGAACTCTTATGTGCCCATGAAGTCTATGTCACCCTTACTGCAGTTTGTGTAATATATTTCATGACATAATGCAAAATCACATGTAGTTGCCATTTTTAGAGCCTTTTATGTGATACCCCTTGTACAAGGGAACTGAGCCTAGCTCATCTGGTGGGAGATGTGGGTGTGCACCCCCACCATCCAGGTTTAAGTTCTCTTCAACTCGGCATTTGGTGCTTATTTCTTCTTTTCTACAATGCCACCTAGTTCCTCCTAGGTTGGTTGATTTTTTTTATGCCCCTTGTACAGAACAGAGTGCTCATGCATGAGCATGCATTGTCTCTACTTTCTAATGTATTCCCACCTTTCAGTCCTGTGTACTTGCATAGATTCTATGTCCATTCTCTCTATTTTTCCAAACATGTTTCAGTATTGTATGAATTTGTAATATGACGCATAGTTTTGGGGATTCAACTCCCAGGTGAACAATTTGTTAATATTTTGCATCTTACAAATCTGGCCCATTCTGCATTTGGTCTTTTGAGTTTGAACATGGGACAATTCATGTTTTTGGTCCTTGATCCAATACATAATATTATCGAGATGCATATGCTACAGGGTTTCAGAAACCTAACTTATGGAGGGGCTCAGTTTAGTTGTATGCTGTGTGTCGTGTTACTGTAATTTGTAGCGTGTCTTGCTGAGGTGTGTTCATGTCTGTGGGTGGGTGGTGTGTTTTCTGAGAGGTGTTACTTCTTTGGAAGAGTTTGTGTTTTGGGACCAGTGTCTCTTTGTCTTCTATACAAACATATGCAGTTCTTCTGCATGTTTGAGAAAAAGAACCCTGACCCCCTGCTGCAATCTTCGTTTGTCATGTGCGAGCAACTTTGTCCCCAATTGGGAGGACTTTTTTTTTGTGGACTTAGTTCATTTTTATGTTTGAAAGACTGAACTTTTTTTTATTGATGCAGTTTGATGAGCAGAAGGATCAAGCTGCTGTTGAGAAGATCCTGAAAGTTGTTTTCTTGGATGTAAACGGTCAAAGCCCTGTAAGCAAATCATAACAGCAATATTTTGTGTTTGTGATTACTTAGTTGGATACTGGAATTTAATAATCTCACTTGTTCATTCTTTCTCAAAGCAACTGGAAAAGGTCAACAATCAAATAGCTGAGGCAGAAGCTGCACTTGAGGCAGGGAAGAAACCTCCAGAAGAAAATGGCCCAAAAATTGTTGGTGAAGGGCTCGTCATCGATGAATGGGTATTACCTCTCGGCTGACATGAAATTTTCTGGTTCCATCTGGTTCCATGTATTTTGTTCAGTGCTAAGAGCCATTGTTCCATGTGTTCATTGCAGAAAGAGCGGAGGGAAAGGTACCTCGCGCAACAGCAAGTTGAAGTGGTCGATTCGGTGTAAATTGCATTCTACTGCTCCACAATCTATGCATATGGCTTCAACAAGGGCTGTGACATTCTTGTAAACTCTTAGGTTTCATTGTAGTGTAGTGTTTGTGGTAGTCTAGGGTTGTGCTTGCAGGATCAGAGTCCCCAAAGGACAAGCTAACCTCCGGTATTATCTGTACTTGCTCATGTAATTGTGGTAACAAATGTATTGTTGGGTGCTACTGCTGGATGCATTTGTTTGTCGGAACAAAATATAGCGTATAATTATTGGATCGGAACAGGTCCTCCATTTTAAATTATAAGACGTGACTTTTCTAGATACATATATTTTGTTATTGCATATATAGTTAAAGAAATGTATTTAGAAAAGCTAAAATGTTTTATATAATTTTAGAACGGAGGGAGTAGTATATAAGTGATGTCCTGATTGGGGTGGGCTGCATATTGGGTGGTCCGCATAAAATCCATTTGGGTTTCAAAAAACTTGTTTAGAACCCATTGCAGCCTTGCTCGCCTTTTTATTGATTCGTTTGTCATATTTATCTGTATAATCTTAATTTTAGTAAGGCAAAATTACTTCATTACTTTTTTCTGAGGGAAAAATTTAAGTCATTATTTTGGGCGCCCTTCTCATATTAATCGGTTTGATTATTACAAAATTTCCCTCTCTACTTCTCTAGTTTGAGATCTGTCGATATAACGTTGCTGTTATGAGCTACTGATTCAGCTATTGCCGTAGTAATTTAGATTTGTAATCGGCCTTAAACTTCTTAATTCATAAACCACATTTCCAAGATTAAATTACACTGCACCACTATATCAACTACCAATCCAAGTGTTGCAATAGTAATGAAATATAAATGATCAGGTTTGAGCTTTAAACTTCATGTCCCGAGATTAGAGGAAGAATTGCATAACGCATGCACTCAACCATTCACTATTACAGGTTTTAGCTAGCGACCCTACTAGCAAACAGCACTTGAGTACTTGACTTCGTATAGCTAAATCATAGAGAATTGTGAATCAAGTACGAAGCATATGAGTGAACGTAAACTTATGCTTCCTATATAGTCTAGTTTTGCATTATAGAGACCAAAAACGAACCCAATGTGTACCCCTAATGATGATATGCATATAAGAGCACGGTCTTTGTCAAAGGCAAATATCATTTCGACACAACTATACAATCATATTTTTCAAATAAATGAGGTGCACTTATTGGTGCATACACCCCCGGCCCACTGGGGCAATTTGTATTGATGTCCACTTGGATTTAAATGTTTCATAGTTATTTATTGCTACAAAACCAACATTGATCACTATCCCGTCCTACAAATTGTGCAAATATAGTCAAATTTAAGTCATTCTTGAAGAATTTTTATTAATAAACCAAACCACGATGAAAGAAGTGATATTTTACACAAATTTTTGAATAAGACAAGTGGTCAAACTTGGTGTCAAAAAAGTCAAACGTCTTACAATTTAGAATGGATTGAGTAAGTTGCAGAAAGTCCACTTTCTGATAAAGTTCATTCCATTTGGTCAACTTGTCTACATATTGAAGTTCGACGGAAATATAGAAGAACTAGTAGGTACCCCCGTGAGCACGGGCCACGGAGCTGGATATATAGGATATCATATAATTATATATGAGCGACAATGATTTTGATCTCTGCATGAACAATGTATCTGCATCAATGCTGATCCTTTTTTATGGCATTTTCCCTATGCTTGAGCCGTACCATGTATGAAATCTGCAGGTTAGCAAGGCACCTGAGCACCAGCCACCTGAGCACCTGCAAGTCAATTGAAAAGGAGTACTCAGTTGTGCGGACAACACTGAAGAAAGGAACAAAGCAAGAGAGTAGCAGTTAATGTTTGGTACAGGAATACTATGAGGAACATTCAGACTGCTTCCTGAGCACCCTGTACTATGGCCATATGCATTTTTGAAGACACTAGTTACATATAGGGTATGAAGTGAAGGGTTGAGGCTAACATAGTAGAACAAAGATCACGGATATACCGAACATCTTAATCGATTCATGCATATACATTCTCAAAAAATAGGAGTGAATGATAGAAAATAGGAAATGAAATTAGCAAATGTGGTTCATTGTTTAATATCAGACATCCAAACCTGTGTTGTGGTATCTGGGATAGCAATGCTGTGCCTCATCCTTTGGTATGACAATTCATCTGTTAAAAATAACACTAAAAATTCAGGACCCGAATACAACAGCAGGCAAGCAGAAATGACGAAATCCACAAATTCCCTCAAACAACGAAATCCACAGAAGTTCATTAAGTGCACAGAAACACACTTTGACCTGAACATTTTGCAGTCATTCATCCTGAAATGTATGTTTACATGGTTTTGCGCTGCTGTCAACTTGAATAAGGCAGACAGAAACATCGAATCGAACAACAATATAATGAACTAACAAAGGAATATCAGTCGAATCCCGAACAAATAAACACAGATGCTGAACATGACAAAGGAGTTGGAGAAAACATCACAAAGTAGAACACAAGAAGGAAGCTCTCAAAATTCATCTTAATTTGGCATAGAGCACACCAGCAGCAGTGTACGTGAGCTTTTAGTGTATGGTAAGACATACCAGCTACAAAGCGCATGGGGCAGGGCAGCGCGCTGGATCTTGGGTTCACTGAGATAAGTGAGATCATATGCTGTTTAGTCTCATTTGAACATACAGTAGTTTCCAGAGATCATAAAATGTTTGGTGTCATTTAAACATATTAATTTCTTTTTCCAGATAATGCGAAATGAGACAATTTTGTACACAACATTTATAGACAGTATATGTTGGAGTCGAAATTCTGGAGTCATGCGAAATGAGACTAAACATCATATATAAACTTAGGGAGGATGGCGGTCAGGCAAGTGCAATGAATTGCAAAGAAATTACGAATGAGTGTGAAACATAATTTGGGAAGGAACATGTAGAGATTCCCAATATGTGATCTTGCAAAGAATAACAACATTGGGTACTAAAAATGACAAATTTTCTATCAGACAGGGAAACATTATCACCTAAATGTAACCACAGAAAGTAACGAACTATAGGCGAACGTTTTCGTTATGCCAAACAAACCTGAGAGCTAATTAGCAGAGATTTGGCAAACAAACTGCACACCTTTCATTAAGGAGGAAACAAATACTTACCTGGTGCAATTGATGCTGGATTAACACCATGTAGGTTCAAATGGAAGTCTGTACATCAACCTACATACCTGCAAGTTCCCTGGAACAGGAAGAAACTGAGCACAAAATTCAGTGGCCTACTCTTGATGCACGTGTAACAGCTGCTAAGTTAACCAACAGCAAAGATATTGTAAAAAAAGAGATAAACTGTATTGCCCAGTGTTGGATACTATCCATTCATTGTAACACGTAATGTAAACTCGGTAAGCCAACTCGTCCAGTGGATCTGATAATCACTGCATACAGACTAACATGAAGGGCTTACTGTCCCATATAATGAGTTTGATCCAGGTAGGCATTTGTAGCTGGAAAAACTATTGCTTGGAAAAATGAATTAACTTTTGAGCAAGGGTACCTTCAATGCTTCTTGTTTGCTTCTTTGAATATATTGGACGCCTTGTCAGATGTAGATATGTGCCTCTGCATCTCTGTTCATGCAGAAAGCTGGGCATGGTTACTTGGTTAGCAACAAACATTGTTGTACAGGCAAATCATCGAGCACGCGGTGTAAAGCATCCATGAGTGAGGCATTCGTTAGTAGAAGATGGGATCAAAGAGAGATAAGCACCATGGTGTCCACTGTTGGTGGACCACATCGCGGCGGAGGCGCTATGCCGCGCTGCACGGTCCGGCGGGGGCCGCGGGAGGACTGAGGGCAGCCAGGTCGGTGCTCCGGTGCGGCCGTCGGAGGGCACAGGCGGGTCCGCGTTCTGGCGGGGTCGCGGGCCAGCAGCGGTGCTGCTGCGCCGGGGCGCTCCGGTGGGTCGCGCGGGAACCGGCGGATTTTCCTGCGGCTGGGGTGGGGCCGCGGGGCTGGAGCGGTGCGCAGCCAGGTGGGAGTGGTGAAGCGGTGCCACACCGCACGACCGTCGGAGGGCGCAGGCGGGGTCGCGGTCCGGTGGTGGTGCCGCGGTGCCGCGCTGAGCGGACGGCGGAGGTCGCACGGGAGGCGGCAACCGCCGGTGCGCGTCCATGCGGCTGCGCCGCAAAGCTGGGGCGGCGCCAGTCCTGCCACCTGCTGTGCTCCCCTGCCGCGGGGCTGCACCAGGGCGAGGTGCCGGGGAGGGGGAGACCGACGCAGGGGAGGTCGAAGAGGCCGTGGCAGGAGGCGACGGCGAGGAGGGCGGAGTCGGCGGAGCATGCGAGGTGGGTTTTTTTTTTTGCTGTCTCGATTCTATCGCATTAATCGGATGGTGCCGTGACGGATGATTCCAGAAGCCTGAGGCGTGGCTGGCATCCGACGGAGGCATGCATGGAGAGCAAAGGGCTGAACGGCTGGGATTGGATCACTGTGGATCTACAGCGTTTTTAGTCCTGCATGCAGATGGACACCGTTGATCAACAGGGATTTTCACCACGTTTAAAGATCTTTATAGTTTAAAGATCTTTGTAGACCAGTCTATTACATAATCATGTGTTTTATACAGTTTCAACACATGATTTTTTTTAACCGTAGAACGAAGATTCAACAGCCTCCAGCCTTCTTTTATTTTCAGCCTCCAGCCTTCTTCTACCTCCACATGCCCTGCACAAACTCACCCCCGCCGCCGTCGGCTGCCCCGCCCTTGGCCACAGCTATGTTGGCACAAATCACAAGTAACAACAAATCACATATCACAACAAACAATTTTTTTTTCTACGAAAGGACAAGGACAAATCGTGGCTGTGACGGCACAAATCACAAGCAACAAATCGCGGCGGCGCGGCGAGGCTGCAGCGGCGCGGGCATGGGCGCAGCGGTGGCACGGGCACAGATCGGACGAAAGCGCGCGGGAGCTGGGGAAGATTAGATGGCTTCAAAATCGTACGTTGGATTGCTTCAAAACATATATGTGTGATATAGCATTTCTTTAGAATTAATAGAATGATATGCTGTGAATACAGGTCACTGTCAATGGTATTGTGCTGGGAGTAACAAGGGAAGGATCAGACGTCCTTATCAGCACATTATTAGTGCTTCATCTAACTACCCTGCAACTATTTTAATCGTTTGGATTACCAGAAGTCACATAACACAACGGTTTGTCTCCTAATGCAATATAAAAACCACATGATATTTGCACCAATTTATTCAATTGCGACATCCAAATATCCAATCGTGTGCAAAATGGAGGACATGACCAGAAAGCTACAGTGATGATGTTGACGATGAGATTCGTGAGATCTTATATATGCATATATAATATCAGCAATGGATCTCAGTGTGTCTATGCACTTATCTGTAACCTGTCACTTTAATCATTGTTATTTATCGGTGACCCAACTACTCTTAGTGTTCTTTTTAAAAGTTCGTGTAGTTTTGAGATTCACCGACACATTACTCATCCGGCCAGTAATTATTCACTGTGGCCATGGGTGCTAATTTGTCCTGTAATTAGCATATGGGAGAGGTATAATGCCATATTATGACCAAGAGAGATCGCAGATAAGTGCAGCAGGTTTGTCATGCCCGTTAGAGAGAGAGAGAGAAGTTTATCTCACTCAGTTTTAAGTTTGTAGGGATAAGTGGATAACCATCAGGTCCTGTCAGAGTATTGTAGTGTTTATCTTAATGCAGTGTCAGAAACAAAATATACAAGAGCACATGCAGGAAGAAGGCCTTCGATTCTCGGTGGTTTCTTGCATCCTTCATATTCATAACGGATAATGCTTCAGATCAGAGAAGAGAGAGCCTATCCATATCAGTGAATGGCGCACTCTATGTGCATTTCATCTGCACATATTTTTATCTGAAGAACCAAAGAACCGCCTTCCTCTCAAGATCTACAGTCCCATATAATCCTAGGAATGTAAAAATGTTACAGGAATTTCACAGCATTCACATCGTTTCCACAGACTTGCTGCGTGCCGGACTGCGTTGCCAGGGGCGAATCTAGAGGGGTTCATCAGGGTCCGCCGACCCCGACAAAATTTGTAAAATCCTTGTAAATTATAGTTCAAACTTACGAAAAATTATATCACTAGGCCCCGTTCGCTGGTTTGAAACTTGGCTAAAACTAGCTGAAAAACACTGTTCCGGCTGAATTGGTGTGAGAGAAAAACACTGTTCCGGCTAGAAAAAGAAACCGAATAAGCTACTTTTTAAGACCAGCGAACGGGTCCATAATGAAGTTGAGCCAAATGACCAATGATGTTTTCGGCTAGATTCGCCACTGTGCGTCGCAGTTGCAGACGGGACTCGAAACTGGAGACTAGGATGAACCGACAGGGACGTTCACTCCTTTCAGGAACTGAAGTGCAGAACGGGACTGCTGTGCAAGCAAAGCAAGTGACAGGTCCAGACAAGATGAACTGGATGCCGCAGATAAGACAAACCCCCTGCCTGTAACCGCAGTGTATATCCTCCAAATCAGATGGCCTCATCAGGAACCACACCATGGACTCGATGCCTCCACGAGCTCCCCGTTTGACGAAACCAATGGTCCGCTCGGCCACCTGTTTTTCCGAGCTGCCTGCAAAACCATTGGCCACTGACAAGTTGACATGAACGCACGGGCACGTCAACACACGTAGTACTCCGTATATATCTAGCTCATTCTGCTCGGCTCACTCCTCCATGTGCGCTGACGTTCTTGGGGGCGGCACGCAGAGTCTCACAGGCAGCAATAGCACGTCGTAGTTTCGGAACGCAGAAAAGATGAGGTTTGCAGTGGTGAACAAGGCGTACATTGCGGTGACGCTGGGCGCCGCCATCGAGCACGCCCCTGCTCCTCGGAGGCGAAGTGGGGCGGCGCGGTCGACGTCGTGGGTCGGCGAGGTCGGCAGTGGCGCCGAGGACACGTGTGAAAAATAGACGGTATCGGAGCAGACTCTACTGTGACGTGCTTGGACTTCAGCACAGCAGCCGCCCCTATAAATACGTCGATTTGTAGGCGCGGCTGGTATGTAGAGGCGGCTATTACCAGCCGCCCCTACAAATACCCGCTGTATATATAGCAGTCACCTTCTTCCATGACTTCACTTTCACCAAATTTTTCTCTTCCACCAAGCTACAGCCATTCGCTGCCCCTAACCCTCTCCTTCCCCTCATCGCTCGAAGCTATCCGGCGGCCGCAGCGCCTTCCCCTCACCGTGCCGCAGCCATGGGGCGTCCCCATCCCTCTCTCGCTCGTTGCTCCTCTCCGCTACAGACATTCGGCCGTCGTGCCAAGACTGCACCCATCGGCGGCCGCCACCACCGCCACTGCGCCACCGCCACCAATGCACGGTGTCACCGCAGCGCCCTAAAGCCACCGGCCGATCTTTGGACGCCTGGTCAAGAAGGTTGCTGAACCTCCGACGGCCGGGCGTCGCGCTGTGCCGAGGGGCCGAGCGAATCTGTGGCCGGGGCCGAAGCGGATCTGCGTCGGGCGCCGCTTAACTGGGGCCGGGGAGCTCAGCGGTCGGGCATCGGGCGGTGGCGTGACAGGTCGCCTTTTTCGTTTATCCTCTCCCTCTGAACTCATCCCCTAAAAGGGCTTCAGATCTGAGCATACCCATTAGTGTGTAGGGTATTGGTGCCTAGATTTTGGTGTGAGGATTTGGAAATTTGTCTCTGCTCTGTACACCGGTGAAGCTTCTCCAACATTGTGGTAATGTGTAGTTGTGCTCTTTCTTGGCGCAATTTATTATTTCTTGTATGGCAAATTTTTTAGTTTTGGTTTGAAGTAAATGAATCATGAATGGTTCCTTTTTCATCTTGTTTCAGAGATATAGGGAGGTTGGAGATGCTCATGCCAACCAACTTGGACAACGATGATGGTCATTTAGTAGCCTTGTATTGTGTGGTGAGTAGCCTACTCAAAACATGTGTGCTGGTATTAGCATCTGCATATTGCCATTCAAGAACCTGTTAGAAAGCACTAAGAGTTTCTTATATGTTGAGGTGTGGAAGCGAGTCTGTGTTACAGAGAGAGGCTGCAGTGATTGGGGTGAAGCGAGAAGAACATGAAGCAATGATCTTGCAGTATGAGAATGGGCATGTCTATGGACATGAGTGCTTTAACAATGTCAGTTCCTAATTCTTTTAATTTACTATGCACAATGATGATTCATTACACATTTATTTTGTCTGATAGGAATGTAGATGTAAAGGCATTCTTCTATTGATGTGTATCCTAATGTGCAGTTTATTTGTCCTCACTAAGCTGTGCCTTATTACAAACATGGAGCTTCTGCATAGTGCCATCCAACACCGCATGTCCTAGGCCTTCCCCATCTTTGCAACACGATGGTGAGCCCTGATTGTGCTTGGTTCTGCTGTATGGTGCACATATTATTTTTCTCTAATTCAACTCTCTATGTGTTATTTACAATAATTGGATAGGAAAATTTCCAAAATGAGTTAAGCTTCTTGGTAATTACTAATATTCAACATATTCAGAACTTGCCAATCAAACCAGGGAAAATTCCACAATAAGATGAGCTTCTTAGTAGTTAATAAAATTATAAGATCATTCACTTTGTAGTCTCTACCCTCAAATCGATCGTGCCAAGACTCACTGTAAAAGCTGATGACTATGGGTAAATATACTATTATACTCATTTCTAATATCATACTAATACGGGTGAATTCTTTTATAAAACAAATCTGGTGTACAGTTTTTATTAAGTATGCACTACTATTCATTTTTGGTAAGTTACCTTGCACACTTCCTTGTAGTTGACTTTTATAGGATCTCATGCTCATGCTATCACTACCACATACCGTTTTTCTCTCGACTCTGATGTTTTTATGTCATATATCTTGTTGCAAAGTTGGATACTAATATTTTTTTATCATGTGCTGCAGAGTGCAGACTCTGATGTGACATGAGCCGTAAATTTCTAAGAGGTAAATTGATCTAGTTCTCTATTGTTGCCATTTTTTTCTGCATACAGAACTAGTTTTTGCCTTCAAAGTTACATATCCTGTATTGAGCAATAGCGGTATTGGTGCTTCTGAAGTAGTTGCTAGTCACATTATTCTTAGAAAACAAATCTGCACAATCATCGATCTCAACATTATTCTTAATTTTTTTGGGAGAAAACTAAATCTCAACATATATTCTAATGAGAAATCGTCGATCTCAGATTTGTCCAGAGGCTGCTGCCATATCCTTCCGGACCTCACTTAAACGATAGACATTTTAAATAGCCAATAAGTTTTTTCTCTAATATCTTGCCTTACATCACTATAACTGTGATGACGTTCTTCTCATAAAAAATTGAGACTTTAGCTGTTGCATAATTAGTAGGGTGTGATGATATTGTATGGACTGCTGTGTGTGATAAATTGCTTTAGTTACCATTACAATACTTGTTAGTTACTGTTTTAGCAGGCCACTTGAGGTACAATTCTACTTTGGTTAATTATCTGATTGTAGCCTTATGCCCAAAACATGTATGGATCATATTGGTACTTTACTTGCAGTTCATTTGTCAAAATTATCAAATAGGCATACCACCAGAATTAACTAGCCCTTTTGAATCACAATACCTGTTACATCACTGATGATATGGTTACCAGCCTACAACTAGACCATTATGAATTTTTATGTTCCTACAAATATTGATTTACTATACATCCTGTTCGGCTGATATAAAACCGGCTGATAAGCCGGCTGAAGCTGATTTGTTGTGAGAGAAAAATACTGTAGATTCTAGTTGATAAGCTGGCTGATAAGTTCAAACGAACAGGCCATATATACGCAGCAAACATGAATATAACTCTTGTTTCTACATTCCATGGTTCATGTGCAAAATGTAAATATATATGTTCTGGTCGAATTTGAATTGCAAATTTGAATTTTTTTTACGAAAAAATGTATTGTAGGAGCGGTTTTAGACTGAACCGTCCCTACAAACAGGTATTATAGGGGCAGCTGGTACTACAGCCGTCCTTACAAATCGATTTGTAGAGGCGACTGGTGTCTACAAATCGATTTGTAAGAGCGATCTGGGAACTACCTCTACAAATACATGATTTGTAGAGACGGTATGGTAGGGGCGGCTGACCGAGCCGCCTC